TATGTCGCACGTGTACTCAAAATATATGTATAAATTTATCTAAATCAAAAAGAAAACCTGACATCATCATCATATTGAATATCCATCACGGTGGAAACCACAGATGGCACCTGTTTTTTACGAGAGAAAAGGGAAAGGGGAATAGAGAGGAAAGAGACACCGAAAGACGACAACCAGTAGAACAATCTAGTGGTGGAAGAGACGGATGCCCTGCTCGACAAAGGTGATGCCCAGCTTCTCGGCAGTCTCGAAGACGGGGGTGTCGTTCTGGCTGCCAGTAGGGGCGGCGATGTACTTGACACCTGAGCGGGCGGCACGGAAGACGTTGTCGATGAAGGGGAACTAGTGGAGACAATTAGCATTTGCCACAGAAGAGTGAATGTGGGCGGATATGAAAGGGGATTACTTACGAAGGCATCGGACGAGACAGCGACCTCGCCAAGCTTCTCGAGCCAAGCCTCACGCTCCTCCTGGGTGAAGGGAGCAGGGACCTCCTCGAAGACACGCTCGTACTCGGCGGTCTCGGCGTCGGTGCGGGGAGTCTGGCCTGAGCAGAGCAGGTCGATGGCGTTGGACTTGTCAGCACGCTTGGTGCCCTGCTTCCACTTGATGCCGATGACGCGCTCGTGGAAGCGCATCCACCAGTTGTCGGCCTTGTCACCGGCCAGACGGGTGCAGTGGATACGGCTCTGCTGGCCGGCGCCCAGGCCGATGATTTGGCCATTCAGGGCGTAGCAGACGGAGTTGGACTGGGTGTACTTGAGGGCAATGGTGGCGACGGTCAAGTCACGGAGAGCAGCCTCGGGAAGGGAAGTAGTGTTCTTGGGGGTGATGACGGTGTTGAAGGTCTTGCTGGGGGAGATGACGATGTCGTTGCGGTGCTGGGTCAGCTGGACACCGTACAGAGTGCGGGTCTCCTCGGGGGCCGGGGTGTAGTCCTCGTCCATCTGGAGGACAAGGTACTTGCCGCCCTTCTTCTTGGAGAGGATGTCCAGAGCCTCGGGCTCGTAGCCAGCGGCGATGACACCGTCGGACACCTCACGCGAGATGATCTTGGCGGTGGGGACATCGACGATGTCACTGAGGGCCAGAATGTCACCGAAGCTGGACATGCGGTCGGCACCACGGGCACGAGCGTAAGCCTGAGCCAGACCGGAGGTCTCGATGCCCTTGATATCGTCCACCATGTACACCTTGCGCTCCTTCTCGTTCAGGGGCACGCCGATAGCGGCACCAGCGGGGGAAACGTGCTTGAAGCTGGCAGCGGCGGGGAAGCCAAGAGCCTGCTTGAGCTCCTTAACCAGGGGCCAGGCGTTCAGGGCATCGAGCAGGTTAACGTAGCCAGGAGATCCATTGAGGACCTTGAAAGGCAGCTGGCCCTGAACCATGTAGGCAGAGGCGGGCTTCTGGTGGGGGTTGGTACCGTAGCGCAGCGAGAGCTGCTGCTGACCGTTGCCAGCATACTCCTTGCGGAAAAAGCCTGAGATAGCGGAGTCGTAGTCGGCAGTCTGCTCGAAAGCCTTGAGGGCGTACTGCTTGCGGCTGGCATCGGTGATCGCGCCGGCCTCGAGCTCCTTGAGGAAATCGGAGTAATCGCGGGGGTCTGACAGGATGGTCACACGTTTGTGGTTCTTGGCCGCAGCACGGAGCAGAGTCACACCACCAATATCGATCTCCTCCACGGCCTCATCGATGGTGACGTTGACCTTGGCGACGGTCTCCTTGAAGGGGTACAGGTTGCAAACGACGTAGTCAACCTTGGCGATCTTCTGCTCGGCGAGGTCATTCTCGTCGGACTCGATATCACGGGCAAGGATACCACCGTGCACGGCAGGGTGGAGGGTCTTGACACGGCCACCGAGCATCTCGGGGGCGTTGGTGATGGCAGAGACATCCCTGGGATTAATTGTCAGTGCCTGGACTTTGTATTGATCTTGACACTTTCTTAATTGTGCCATTGATGATAGAGGTAACTCACTCGACAGGGAATCCAGCCTCACGGATCATCTTAGCGGTACCGCCAGACGCGAGAAGACGGACTTCCTGCTTGACCAGACCCTTGGCCAGGTCAAGCAGACCAGTCTTGTCATAGACGGAGATGATAGCTATTCAATTCCAAAATAAGGATATTAGAATTGACCTTGAACTGTGACAAATAATATCATAGTCCGGGGAACTATGAAGTCCAAGAGCGACATACCGGACTTTTGAGACATGATGGATCCGACGGTCGACACTAGATCTGTTAGAGAAAGAATCCCCAAAATAATTCAACCGGCAATTGAAATAATGGATCAAAATGACATACCTAAAACCAAGCGAAGAGGGTATAGCAAATGACGAACTGAAGAAAAAGAAGAAAATATGACTCCGCGGGGTCGGACCGATTGCGGCGGCGGGGCTTCGATAGCAAAAGCTATATTACGTGATCGACCTCAGCCCACTGTGGCGCCAGCCAATAGAAAGCCAGATTTATGAAGGAGGTCTTAGCGTGGCACGTGATCTTGGGATACATAAGAGATTTCTCAGAGGCGTCATTTCTCCTTTTTTTTTTCTTCATGAACAACGCAAAACTCACATTCTACTCAAAAAGCGTTCCTACGAAGACTTGTCTGATGAAGTACGGAAATCGTATAGAGAATGGAGACCAAGTGCCAACTGGCAAAGGTGTCGATCTTGGGTGCAGTGCCTGCTGACCTCTGGTCATGTAGTAGGGATTGCAATGATTGATTCTACATACCGATCAATTTAGTAATGAATATCATTCAACTTTTTCTTGAAAACTTCGCCTTTCGTAAATATTGTAGGCCTGTGGGTTCTTTAATCTCCTACAGAGTACAGTTTCTGGCGTAGTGGGAAGTCAGCGGAGCCGATTTCTATTACGATTCTTTATCAGAGCCATAAATTATTTCAGATGTACATTAAACGTTCCCTGCCCTGATATAAGGCCGCTCCCCAGCGAAACTCGAGTCCTTCATCCTGAACCAGGAAAACTCAGGCGCTTTTCGACCCTCATGGCTTCATGACATCTCTGACGCCAGCTCCGATGGCAAGCTGACGGCCAACATTTCCAAAGCACACGCACGCGCAGAAAATGACACTCGCAATCCAAGTGCCGACCGCAATGCTCTCCTGGGTGATACCTGCACCCAGCACATTCTCCAGTCCTGTTCCATTCAGAAGAGTGGTGCCGACTGACGGGCCAGTCGATATGGGCACAAGCTCTGGCTTGAGGCCAAGAACCACTCCCATGCCGGCCAATCCAACGGTGGTCGAGAGGACGAAGCCAGTTGTGGTGCGGTCAATCAGGTACCAGAGAACGGGGTTCGCGAGCGCGAGGGTCAACGATGCTTGCGTGGTAGATTCCCAAGGGAGTCTCCGCTGGACGAAGAATCGAGATGTCAGCATTGTCCATAGAGATAGAGAAGAACGGGAAGCGTAGAAAACAACAGCTGTCCACTTACCATAGCAAATGCAATTCCGACAAACGCTCCAACACTGCGCGCAACAGTAACCCAAGACGGGGTGCGGTCCTCACTGTCCTCCTCATTGGTACCCGCAAGCTTCGAATCAGAGTCGCCCTCACGGCAGCTATCCAGCCAAGGAAGCAGATTACCCAGAGCAATACCAGCCAACCCCCAGAAGCCCAGGTACTGCCATGAATCGTAGTAATGAATATTCTCCAGCTTGACGGGTGTAATCCAATGGTTATCATGAAGATGAACCGTAATCACACCGTAAGCAAGACCAAAGCCAAAGAGCAGCACGCTGCTCAATGCCTGCGGCAAGATCACGCCCCGGAACAGTCCATGGCTCAAGCGCGATCGGGTCCTCCGCAGCGCCATCCGCCGCGGCTCGATGGCCGATTTCTCTGCTGCGCGCTGTAATGGTTCGGGCGGGAACTCTGCCGCCGGACTGTTGGCTTCCGTACCCCAGGGACTGGATTCGTCACGGAACCCGTCAAATGCCGTCGGCGAGTAGATCCCGTACAGTGTCGAGGAGGTCAGGTTCATCACTGATCCCGTGCGGCTCACATTCGCTGAGTTCGCGGCGTCTGCATTCGGGTTCAGGTACTCAGTGCCTGTTGACTCTGCCGGCGTCGGAGGTCCGGATGACTCCGTGGAAGCAGGCGTCAGATCGAATGGTCGTCTCGGACGCGGACGCAGGATGCGAGGCTGTTCGGTCATGATGGGTAAACGGGTTCTGGTTTGTCTCGTGTGTTTATTTCAAGGCTCCTCGTTTCTGTTGGGTGCTCTGGGAGGGGACAGAGAGTCTTTGCGACGAAAGACAAACTGTGTATTTTGTTTGCCCAACACGATTTGGGTGACTTCAATTCTGTAGGTAGAGCTGTAATATATTGTACAGGATGCTTTGTGCGCGTCTGAGAATGTGTCAGGTGAAATGTGCAAATATGGGGAAAGGAGAGAAATCAAGAATGGAGAATGGGGCAGCTTAGCGGGATATGACGCTTACCGGAAATATAAACTTCCTCGGAGCAATTGGGCAACAAGGCCTATCCTGGTATCTGTCTATCTGTCTCAGGTCAAAACCAAGTTAATTCGGGTTGGGGAAAAGAGGGAAAAGTACAGATTGTCTCAACAAATTTGTCTTAGGAATCCGCTTCGTACTGTTGGCTACACCGAACTCTACAGCATCTGTATCCACTGACACCGGACTTCCCGTAACTCGTATGATCGAGCTTGTGTGGTTGAACGGGTATGCGATATTTGAGATTGTCTGTGTGAAGAAACAATTTGCAGCTATGGAAGTGGGCAGATGAAGAGAGGAGAAAGAGGGGGGGGTTTATCACATGCAGTGCTCATCGGAGGTCAAGGTAGTACTGGCCACTTATATCAAGGCCTTGGGTGGAATTTGACTTGAAACACAACCATTACAGAAGGGAATAATACGCCTAGAGAACAGGAGGGGGAAAAAAAAAGACAAACGAAACAGTAGATCGTGATACACAAGATTTCGAAGCAAAAAAAACGCCAACCCTATTAGTCTTCCATCGCGTCGTCTCCATAACCTTCCCCGCGTGGGCCAGCTGGACCCCTCGGGGCAGGGGACGAGGCTTCATGTCGTGCGTAACCATTGGCGCCTTCATAGGCTGAGGAATTTTCATCACCGTCCACATCTTCTTCGTCGTCCTGATCGTCAGAGAAGTCCCCTTCCTCATCGGCTCGGGGGGGCACGTCCATCATCTTCTTCACCAGAAACCTCGCCAAGGAGTTCGCGGTCAAGATCGTCCAGCTCCCCCTCTATGTAGTCCTCGGGTCCGTGCTCCGGGTCCCAGCTTGGGGTACCCACAGCTGATGGCCCAGCTCCCAACCCATCAGGATGGGCGTGTGTGCCCTTAGCCTGTGACGCCGCGGCTTTCTTGGTAGTGCCAGGGGTGCCTGTAACACCCGTAGACTTGCGCTTGGCAGCAGCACTAGGGCGAGGACGTGGACGAGATCGGTTGTTGGAGTTCCGTACATCAGCTTCCAGGGCTGCTTTGGCCTGGTATCGCTCCTCGCGCTCCCTCTTGCGATCCTTCTTGGGGCCATTGGCTTCTGTATAATCCCAGCGGTCGAGCCGGCGGGCAGCCTTTCGCACTACAGAGAGAAAGACGCTTGCACATTCTCCAAAGTCATCCTCTTCTTCCGGGTTTGGGAAGAGGCCACCCTTGCCCCATGATGTTTCTTCGTCATCTGTATCGTAGCCCTCGGGCAGGCCCTGAAGCAAGCGACCGTAGCGCGCGAAAGGAATCTCACTCTCCCGTTTAGCACGGAGAACGCGGTATGCGTTTGATTTACGTTTGGCCAGCAGATAGTCAATCCTCTGCCGACGATTTTGCTCCACGGCTATCTGGTGCTGTGTAAGTGGCCGCATCCGACGCATAGTAGGTGCTGAAGAAAGCGAGGGCTCTGTAATAAAGCGATTAAGGACTGGATGATTGGGACCCGGAGGAGCGGGGGAAGCATCAGGTGTATGTTCCATCCTCGTTTTCAAGATGAGTCGCTGTTGGCCCGCAGCTCGATTAAGTGATGACTCCCGCTTGGCCTGTTTAGGGCGCGGACGAGAGTGGCCAGGGGTCATATCATCGTCCTCGTCATCCAAGCTGCGTTTAGCAGAAGGATGGAGAGGGGTGGACATAGCAGAGCCACGACCTCCCATACCAGAGTAATCTCCTGCGAATGATTCTTCGTCAAAGCCGTATTCTGCGGGGAATGTTAGCGTTCTGAAAACGTATAATGACAACTGTTCAAAATGTCGAGCTCACCTTTTTTGGGGCGCTTGGGAATGCGCGGTAGTGGTTCCTCTTCTTCCAGGATGCCTGCGCCAAATGTCAGTCAAGTCCCATTTTCAACAGCAGTCAGAACTAAACACATACGCTTGCGCTCTAGTCTTTTAGACTCCCCGTACTCCTGTTCCTCAGGTGTATCTAAATTCTCCTCACTGGCTTGTTCCTCTGTCAGGATGTCAAAGGGAGGTACTTTCAGAGGAAGACCCTCGGACCCCTCGCCTTCCACACCCGGACCAAATGGATTGTTCAGAGCAGCCTCACGACTGAAATCGCTTTCTAGGTACCACCACATCAGCCAAAGGAACGCCCTAGCGCGACTTTGGCTGCTAAGTGTAGATCTCATGACCAGGTCGAAGAAGTCTCGCGGAGGAAAGAAATGTGTTTCTGACACTTTGGGGGCATACTGCGCCAGGACAAATATCAAGTTCACTGGGTTGGTTCGAGGTATATTTTGTCGCTTAATCTTCTCCAAAGTATTCGGTTGGTCTACATCCTCCGAGGCGCCCTTGAGGATGGACTTGAGACGAGGAGCATCCTGCAGCTGCTTGTAGGCGTTGGAGTCCTGATGCGCTTGTAGTGAGGGAATCGAGTGGTAGGTTCGGAGTTGAGCACGCATTTCGGGGAAGACTAGAGAAAACAAGACAATAGCAATTAGCACGGAGAGGGTAAATTATGGTTGGCATAGCTGCAAGCGTACAGTTTAAGGTAGTGTTCATGCGACCGAAATTGACCAGCAGACAGACCATAGCCATATTGATAGCCGCAGGTTTGTCGTTCTGTAACTTATCCTTCAGAATCTTGCTGGTCTTGCTGCTCCGGGCCATTGCATTGATGTAGACATCGGCGAAGTCCAATCCCTTCTGTCCGTCGGGATACCGCGTAAAAACGGGCGTTTTGTCCTCAAAGACCAGCTTCAGGAATTGGTACTGGATATCTTTGCGCCATAGGGGTATGCCATCATCTTTCTTCAGGTGCCGAATCTTGTTGCCGGAGTACACAGAGCCAATTGTGCCGTTCGCTTGCCGTCTTGTACCGACCGTCGCGCTAGCGGTCATGCCGTGAGACTGATCGTCCGCAGCTTCGGACGCCGCGAAGGACTCGTCCATCATGCTGTTTTCGAAATCGGCCATGTTGGGGGTTATTGAAACCGATAGGTTCGCGATCAGATTCTAGGAGAATCGCAGGTTATAATGTGGAGTGCCCCCCTAGGAGCCGATAAAAGAGGCAGAAATAGTATAAGAGAAAAGAAACGAAAATAGAAAGGATAAAAGTGAAAAGGAGTGCCAAGCGCAAAAAGGGAAAAGGGAAAAATGAAGTTCAAAAGCCGGAAAAAGAGGAAGAAAGCAGAGCCGAGTGGCCCATGAAGGTATAGCTGGTGTGATATCTACCCGTATCAGAGACCTCACGCGTTTAATATGCGACTATTGCCACGCATTTTGGATTATTTATAGAGCAAAGGAATAACAAGTACTTTGGTACTTTTGACTTGGATTAATATATTTTATAAGACATTCATCTAATAAGTAGTTAGGAACCTCATTTAGTTTACTATCTATGTTGTATGGTGTTTGTACATTTTACATCTACCTAGGTACATATGTACGTATTAATCCTATATCTTACATCTACATCCTACAAGGACCTACTTCACCTAGACCATAATAATTGGAAACACTTTTTCGAAATTGCATTGGATAAGAGAACTTTCCTTCTCGTGGCCATCCTAGGGCCGTTGGTTCGCTTTGTCCCTCCCAATCCGAACCCGAGAATTCATAAGTATATCCATTCTTCCGGCGGCGACAGCGTCCTATCCCCCGAGGTCCGAGAAAAATGACCAGAACAGATAAGGAAATGAAGCGAGATGCTCCTATTCGGAGACAATCAGCCTCCACGGACCCGAAAGCAGAAGACATGCAGTTGCAGGTCAAGCCAACGCCATACAGAATGCAAAGAATACCCATTTTTGGTTTCGAAACACACCAGCCGCGCCGCGTGATGCAGCGGCGAGATAACCAGTATCCGAAAAAAAAAAGCCCGGAGAAAGAAAGCGCACGTTATTGTTTTCGAAAATCGAAATCGACTGCAGAACGCACGAGGGCAGCAACAGAAACAAATGTCCGCCATGAGATACCGACGCTGTAAAAAGTCTATGCTGCACATGATGAATGCAGCCATAACAACACCGAGAAGATCAATGCGAAGAGAAAAAGAGAACTTTTCGAGATGATGAAAAGTCATCAATCTCCGCTCGGCGCACGCGCGTCACTCGAACGTATCCCCAATGAGGATGCTCGAACATAAGGGGTATCTGACGAGAGCGGACACAGGAAAAAAACAAAGAAAAGAAAAGACAACGCATTCTATGATGTTCATGCAGTGTCGATCACGGGTTGCCCGGAGATAGTGGCGTCTCCCAGGAGCAAGAGAAGGAGATCGGACTGCGCGAATGCCTCGTATCTATACAAGGCAATATTAAAGGCCATGGATAGAATCAGCGAAGAGAGACATGAGACGAACAACAAAGGAAAAACCAGATTAAAGCATACGCAAACGGGGAAAGTATGAATCTAAAAACAAGCATAGGAAAGTCGTGCAGTCATGACAAAGCCGTCCCTGAGAGATAGCACAGGTAGAAAAGAACTCAGGGACTCAATCTGATCGTATCCGTCAATGAGAGACAAAAGAAAATAAAGCAAGGGAGCCAATCAGACCCGAGGGCATCGTCAAAAGACCACGACTGATTTACCACCAGGAAGATGGGCCGGAGGAGCCGGAGGGGTTACCGTAGCCACCGCCGCCGTAACCACCACCGTAGGAGGGAGCAGGAGCACCATAGCCGCCACCATAAGAGGGGGCAGCACCTCCAGAGCCAGCGTAGCCGCCGGGACCGCCAAAGCCACCGCCCATGCCGCCGGGGATACGACGCACGTCACGAGTAGCCGCAGCACCACGGCCACGGCCACCACCACCACGGCCACGACCGCTGAATCCGCTACCTTCACGGGCAATGCTCTCCAGGAAAGCGGGAACCTCCTGGTGGGCTTCCTTCAGAAGCTCGAGCAAGTCACGAACAACACCACGGTTGCCACGGTTGAAGAAAGCAGTGGCGATACCAGTGTTACCGGCACGACCAGTACGACCAATGCGGTGAACGTAGTCGTCAATGTCAGTGGGGAGATCGTAGTTGATAACGTGGGTCACGTTAGGGATATCGAGACCACGGGCAGCAACGGCAGTAGCAACCAGAATAGGGCAGCGACCATTACGGAAGAGCTCGAGAGCACGCTCACGCTCGCGCTGGGTACGGTCACCGTGAATGGCGGTCGCAGGGAAACGCTGGTTAATGAGGAAGTCGGAGAGCGAGTCGGCCATGCGCTTGGTCTCAACGAAAATGAGCGTCAGACCAGTGCTGCCGTGGGTGTGGAGAATATCCAGCAGAACGGAGCGCTTGTCGGCATCCTCGACATACTCAACCTTTTGGGTGATGTTCTCCGAAGTACTTCCGACGCGACCAACGGACAAGAAGATGTAGTCTTTGAGGAAATCACGAGCAAGCATTTGGATATCGCGGGGGAAGGTGGCCGAGAACATGAGTGTTTGGCGATTGTCAACAACGGGCATGTCCTCACCCTCGACAATGCGGCGAATCTGGGGCTCGAAACCCATGTCCAGCATGCGATCAGCCTCGTCAAGAACGAGGTACTTGATGTTAGCCAGGGAGATACGGCCACGCTCAATCAGATCAACCAGTCGACCGGGGGTGGCAACGAGGAGGTCGCAACCACGCTCGATCTGACGAAGCTGGGAGCCGATGTCTGCACCACCGTACACGACGCAGGGGCGAACCCACGAGCGGTAAGCGAATTTGCGGGCCTCCTCGAAGATCTGAGAGACCAGCTCACGAGTGGGAGCAAGAATGAGGGAGGTAGGGTAAGCCTTGCGCTGGCGGCCGTAGCTGAACTGACCACCGCCGCCCTGGACAGGGGCGGCAGAGGGACCGTTCTGGAAAGCCTGAGAGAGGATAGGGAAAAGGAAACCACCAGTTTTTCCGGAACCGGTCTGGGCACAAGCCATAAGATCACGGCCGTTCATAACGATGGGGACCGAGTACTTCTGGACGGGAGTAGGAATGACATAGCTGGCAAGCTTGATGTTGGCAATCAAGTGGTCGTCCAGAGGAGGGTTGGTGAACTGGGTGACAGGCTCCGGGACATCATTTCCGGAGGCCTCAACGGGAATATCATCGTAGTTGGAGAAGTTGATTCCAGTCTGCTGCTTAGAGGGGTCGTTGGGCACTCCGAACAGTTCGCGCTCCAAGCGAGCATTGGCGGGACCGGGAACGTGCTTGCCGTCGCGCCACTGGCCATCGCCTGATCCACGGGCTTGCTGACCACCACCGCTGTAGCCGCCGCTGCTACCACCACCACCATAAGAGCCTGGGTTTCCGTAAGCATTGGGATTGAAGGGTCGGAGTTTTCCATCGGGAGTCCAGCTGGTCATACCGTTCGCGGGGCCACGGGGGCTGAAGTTGGGAGCGTTAGCGTTGGCCCAGTTGCCACCGTCACTAGAAGACACAAAATCAGTCGCCGCTTCACGATGTTCAGTATTTCGTGTACTGTACCGAGGACCACCGAAGCCAGAAGGAGCACCAGCGTTAGCACTGGGGGCAGGGCCGGGACCACGCTGACGAAGGTGGGGAGGAATGTAGGCGGCACGGCCAACAGGGGCGTTACCCTGGGGGGCGTGCTGGGACTCGTTGAGGGAAAGGTTTCCCATTTGCAAACCGTCGGCCATTTTTGCGGTGGAAATGTCTGTTGCAGCGCAAGAGTTAAAAGGTGTCCCGCGTTGATGAAAAGCAGGTGAAGGATACTGCGTACAGTTTTTTTCTGCTTCACCGGGAAAGATTCGTTGGTAGATAAAGCACAAGTGATCTGCAAAAGATACTTGCAAAGAATAAGAAATCCACGTAAAGTGTACCTTTAAGAGAAGAGAGAGAGAAAGAGAGAGACGGTGAAAAGATCAAATCGCTTTTCTGTTTCAACTCGATAAGAAAAAAAAAAAAGATCGAGTGGCAAACAAGAAAGCTCAGGAAAACCACAGAGTAGATGGAAAATGCAAATCTCCCGAATCTAAGAACTCTAGAGAGAAGAGAGAGTGAGAGTGAGTAGTGAGAAAAAGGGATGATGGAGGGGGGTTGAATCAAGAGAAAGAGAACGGGGCGGATGAAGTCTGTGGGAAGGAGGCAACAAAAGTTGGAGAGTTGGGGCGCTGTGTGGCTATTGGAGGTACATTAAGGGAACCTACTTTTATAGTGTGAGTGTCTGCTTACCAGAAGTACCAACCAGGTACTTACCGCCACTGAAGAAATTTCAGTTGCTGCTCGCGGGCGGTCTGGAGATCCATGTCTGACTAAGACAGGAGTCGAGTGATTTGACTGGACCAAACCTTGGAAGTATATCACCACCTACGTGACCACAAGGAAACATCCATAGATGATCTATCAATTTATGATGATGAGAGTCACCGGGCATTGAAATCCAGGGTTTAGGGGTGGGCCGAGGCCAAAGTAACGTATAATTGATCTAACATCCTCTCTTATGCAACATATTGTTCTTTCTCTTGCTGTTGCTGTTGCTGCTGGCCTCGCCGACGGGCAATCCAGATACCCACAACGGCGACCAGAACGAAGAAAATCATGGCCGGCTGCAGGGAGTAAGATGGCACGGCGGCCTCGGGGGCATCGGGAGCATTGTCGGTGACACCCGGCTCTTGGTTGAGTTCTTAAGATATCCAACATCATCAGCCACTTCCGACCAGTAGCAGAGGAAACATCGCGCAGACAGTCACCTGTCTAGAGCTCATCGCTGCTACCTTTGTCCTCGGTCTCGGTCTCGGGCTCAAGCTCGAGCTCACCGCTCTTCACTATCTTAACCGCCAGCTTGGGCTTGTCGCCGGGTCCCTTGGGAACGTTCTGGATCTTGTCGACAACCTCGTAGCCCTCGAGCACCTCTCCGAAGACGACGTGGCGGCCATCAAGCCAACTGTGTGGTTCAAGTCAGTTATCGTACCAACGAAATCATTGCAGGGGATACGAACGAGGTGATAGCGGTGGTGATGAAGAACTGAGAGC